CTACGGATCACAACCGCTGTAGATACGAGTCACATTACTGCTACAAGTCTGCTCCACAAACAGGAGCAGGATGTACAGCAAGCCGTTGTAGTATATAATTCACAAACGCATCTATCTTTGAACATAATTTAAACTGGATTATTGCCAACCCGTACATAATAGACATGCCACCATTACATTGTTAGCAGCAGAAATTAAATGTAATTACCATTTCCAAAACAAATGCATGTTAATGAAATACATTATATTTTACTGGATATATTTATGTCTTATTTTGACTAAGATGAGTGTTATTAATACAAACCTCAAATCTTACTGAAATGTAGGTCAAATATTTACAAATATTTTTAACTATAAATATCAGATGGGAAAAAGGGAACTAAACACCAATCTAATGCATATTATCGAGCCTTTCATAATAAGAGTCTGTTATTTCAGCCTGATCATTTTGTTGTTTTATTTCATATTTTTTAGCAGCAAACCAGGTTTGTTTCACTTGAAACGTTGTCAAATGGAATATTCAATTAATCAACAGAAGCTTAGATTAGAACACTTAACGAAAACATATTTAGCCTTTAAAAAAGTGAGGCAGTTGAATGCACAGAGTACGCATGTGCTGGCGCATGGTCAGGATGGTACCACCTCTGCCTCAGTTTGAGCCAGGAAAACCCCTGATAACTGATTAACTCCAAGAGACCAGAAGCAAGTGGGTGAGCTGTTCTTAGTTGTCTTCGGGGGTGAGACGTCCGCGCCAAGTTACCGTCCCTCTACCCTTCTCTCATCCGCCTATCATGTCATCGTCCTGAGCACAAGCACTCCAAAGTGTTTTTGGTTTTTAAAGTGGCACCCTAACAGCGTGTCTGCAACTTTACAAAGTTAACCACAGAAAGAAAAATCTCTGATTTTATCTGCTTCCAGATGGTAGTTGCGTTCCAGAAGCTGATGCGCTCATCAAAACCTTCACATCTGGATAAATCCTATAATAAAGAAAGAAGCTGCTGTATGTTTAAACATCTGTCGTTGTTGCCAGATGAAACTTGTAGAAGAAGTTTGGTGTGATTAGAAAGTTAAGCTGTAGCATAAATCTGACCTTTTGAAAGTGACGGCACTAGAATGCAGATAGAAAAGCACCTGCAGGTCCTTAAAATACCCAGATTTGGTTATTTAAAGTTTTGGGGAAAAGTTATATTGCATCAGGGTTCTGCTGGGAATCCTGGAGGAGGAGTGAGGTCAACAGTGACTCATTTTCACTCTCTCACTCCGTCAAACCCACTCCTTGGCATAGTGCCTTTCAGCTTCCCTTCTCTTTTCAAAACCGAGCAAAGTTTCTGTTCAATCTAAATTCAATCTAAAAGCCAATTTTCTGTTTATTTCAGTTTAACTTGCAGAAATGATCCCGTTTTTCTCATCCCACCTTCCACCCGGGAGAGGAACTGATACGCGTGGTTTCTCTTAACGGATTCGACCTTAATGACGATCAAGTCAGGTTCTGGATTATGTCTTGCAGTGAGGATTGTGTCTCCTTCTTCTGGCCTTTAATAGAGTTAATAACCGGCTTATCGAGCTCACATGGGGATCTGAATAATGTCTGTTGCAGCTGAGTGTTTATTGTTCAGTCGTTTTCACGACCCGTAATTCCCTTCAACCCGTGCATGACTTTTCTGTCCCGCTGTGCCGTTTTGTTTTGTTCTCTTATCTGGATTTTGCATCTTTGCTTTCTCTCCTCTGCCGCCTCTGGACAGCTACAATGCTCAGGTTGCCATGACGAAAGCTTTGACATCTGTCCAGGTTGTGGCGGATGGCATCGAGAGAAATGACTTCTCAGAAATGTCAACAGTTTTCAAAGAAAGTAAATAGCAAATTTAAAAAGCTCTAAAAGGCTTGAAGAAAAGCTTTTGCTTTACCGTCTAATTTCCTGCTAGATGCTCAGCGGATACATTCACTGTGAATTATCAGACTTCTTATTTCTACATTTGTGTAAGAAGCGTCAGGGCAAAAACAACATGGCATCTGTCATTATACAACACTGCCTGACTGGCATTCATGTGATGGTGAATATTGGTGATTGTGTCACAGATAGTATCAGGTTCACATGAAAATTTTTATGTTGAGCACATCATCGGACACTCACCAGGTGATTATATATATTATACATATGGTAATTTAGAGAAGTGCATATCATTTCAGTGGAATCTGCAGGTTAGTTGTCGGGTAGATCCAGAAGAAAGTAGAACCGTAATGGATTTATCTATCTAAGCAGAGGCGCTCCCAGAAAATATTCATAGTGGGGCAGGTGAGAATTTTGGGGTGGTTAGGGTTAGGGGGGCTAGAGTCTGGCCTCTAATTGTGCATTACTCTTTCATTCAATGGGCCGATGCTTCCAGGACAATTAACACAACTTGGCAGGGGTGAGGAGTGAGCACCACCTCAACCCTGCCATGTGGACCCAAGGGATAAACCATCAACCCTGCTCAATGGTCAACTTTCCTCGCGGGGTCACACCCATTAGGCCAGTGGGAGGGTTAAAAAACACAAACATTTCAAAAAGACTAAATTCCACTTATTTCAATTATTGTTCCAATTGTATTGTTTTAGACATTTTAACAGATTTATTGAGAAGGATATTTTTGAAAAATTAATTTAAATTATATTTTTGGGCTAAATATTTCCAGGGGTGGCAGTGGCCTCTCCTGGCCACCTGTTGAGGGCGCCACTGGCTTTTTGCCGTTTTAGGGTTTCAGCATCATGCTTTTCCTGATAGTTGCTGTTTCATTAACTGTAAGATTAGGTATTTTTTATTGGCCATTTAAATAATAAAAATGTGTCATGCATTGTTGCTTCATACATCTTATTTTCTACACATTAGGTGTGAATGCAGAAAAGTATGCAGCTGCAGGAATGACTTGAGAATAGCCGGGTAAACTCTTTCTATACAGACAGAATGAAATGTTTTATGTAGTTGCACATGTTGTGTCCTTGGGCAAGACACTTAACCCGTCTTGCCTGCTGGTGGTGGTCTTTGGGGTCGGTGGCATCAGTGTTCAGCAGCCTCGCCTCTGTCAGTGCGCCCCAGGGCAGCTGTGGCTACATCATAGCTCATCCCCACCAGCGTGTGAATGGGTGAATGCCTGATAGTGTTGTGAAGCGCCTTGGGGGGTTGTAGAACCCTAAGAAGGCGCTATACAAATATAGGCTTTTTATCACCTAATACCAGGTGGAGCAGGCTAGAGGCTAATGTTGCGCTAACAATGCTAACAGTGAATTAGAAGCAAATTATCGGCTCTAAAAAATATCTCAAGCTGCTTTTTCAATCAAAATCTATTTAATAATTTAGTGAAATGTGTGTGTGAGGTGAATAATGAGCCAATCGTGGCATTTTGCTTCCTTTAATGAGTCGTTTAGAACTATAACAGCAAGACAGCAAACAACTGCACTTCCTGCAATACAGGAGACAAACTACCAGAATAAGTGTAGAAAGTGCCTCAATGTAAAAACCCAGATGTATTTATCCACTTATCAACTAACTGTGTGTGACTAGTCTTTGCTTGTCATCTAGAATCTCCTGGCACTGATCTGTAACTGGCAACAGCCATGAAACTCCCAGAATAGCAGTGGGAAAAGGACCCTTTTGCTGAAAAATGGACTGCTGTACCCACAGTTGACCACAGAATGTTATTCCTACAAATTGCACCTTTAAAGCACAACAGTGATTTTATTAATGTTATTCTACGTGTTACCTAATATTTGGATTCCTTTACTTTGCTTTACCAGTCAGTACTGCTTAACCCTGGTTTCAACAGAGAAAGTTCCTTGGATGAGAAGTGAAACAAAAAAGTCTAAGTTACTTTTTCCTGAACCTATGGGAATCCAGTGGGAGCTGGGAAGTGAAAGCAAAAAGAAATGTATGAAGTGTTCTCATACAAAAATCAAGATTGAGCTGATTTTCATCGGTTTGGGGGAGTGAGGTCATGCAACACAAGAGTTAGAAAGTCGGCTCAAACTAGGATTTTACTTTCCTCTGGAGCCCAAATCTGCAAATTGAGATAGATTGAGGATAAGTGTTATAGAATAAAACATTCACTGAAGCACCCCTGCCGGCGTGTGTGTGTGTGTGTGTGTGTGTGTGTGTGTGTGTGTGTGTGTGTGTGTGTCTCCTGCGGGTTTAAAAACTGAGGGTAATGATGTAGAATGGCAGAAGTTTATAGAGGCATTATGCCTACCTTTTACTTCTTTACTTACTCTCTCAAGGACTATTTCTTCATCTCCCCCTTCTCCCAGTGTCCCCTCCTCTCCATTCTTTATGGTGGCATTATTATCTCCCTCCCTCACCCATTACTGTTCAGGTTGGAGCAGAATAATAAATTCCCAGATCATGCCGATGCAGCGTTTCTCCAGCTCAAGCTCATTCTGTGGTGTCAACAGAAAGGCTGCAAAGAAACGCCACCAGACAACAAAGACCGGGGCTGATGATGATGTTTTTGGGATTTTAAAAGTATTTGTTTTAGGAAAGACACATTAACTTCTGTTATGTGTTCTGGAAATTAGAAATTGGGTTTAATAAAAATGCATCTTGATTGTTTCTTCTTTATTGTCTTTAGACTTTTCAATATTTTCTGTTCGAACTGGAATAAAAATCCCTAAATCTTGACTTTTCCTCTATCATCGTAGCCCCTCCTGCGTTTTCTGTTGATTTAGCCTTTTTTTTTAAATCTTCATCTGCTCTCTGTTGTAAAATGTAAATACCAAGACTCTTTGCTTTAAAGCTCCTCGCAATCAACGGAGCCTGATTAGTTTCTGTAAATGACTATAAATGTCAGTTCTATTTGTGCACCAGTGGAAGGCTGAGCACATCCCAAAACGATGCAGAAACTGAACTAAAAACAATCTTTTTTATTACACACAGTAACCACTCGTCTGCCTGGTCTCAAGACATATAAAGGTTGGCTAATGTTTTCTTTTTTTATTCATGTTTAATTTGTTTTGCCTCTTTCTTGCTTCAGTTGGCAGCTTATGGAGGAAAAGTCACTTTCATGGTGTCGTATACTACAGACCAACAGGAGCAAATCAGAGTCACCTCAGAGCCGGACCTTGTTATAGAGGTAAGCTTCTCACACATGGCCTGGTGGCCTCTGGGCCAGATCTGGTTAAAGCTCATTAACCGACACAGGAATCAGAGAAGGTCCAGTTCCAGTCCAGCTGCTGCTAGAGTTGCTTCATAAAGGTCATATTAAACATGTTTGTTTGTAGTCTTTGGTTATATTTAGGGTTTCTGCAGAGCAGGCATGTCCAAAGTGCAGACTGGGGACCATTTGCTGCCCTCTGAGTGATTTTGTTCTCGGCCCCCAATTGTTTTTATAGAATCAGAAATTTTGCCTGTCCATGATGTAGATCTAGAAGAAGACGGCCTCTTATATAGCGCCTCTCAAGATAAAAATCACGAGGCGCTTCACAAAAACAAAAAAATGTAAAAATATAAAAAAGCATTTAGAAAATGTTAAAAAATATATTTAAAATGAGCAAAAATAGACAATTGTGATTAAAAAACAACTGTTAAGAAAGAGAGTGAATAGGAAAGAGGGAAATCAGTGTATCCTGAGGAAGGTGGACTAGGTGGGGAGAGCAGAATAAAGAGAGAGGGGTTGAAGAAGGTCATACAAAAGCCAGCTTGAACAGGTGACTTTTCAGCTGCTTTTTAAAGGAGACCACTGAGTCCACTGATCTCAGGCTCAGTGGGAGAGAGTTCCAAAGTCTTTGGTCTTTAGCCTGGTGCTGCACAACCAGTAGGCTTTGATCACTGGACCTCAGGGACCTGCTGGGGGTGTAGGGACTAAGAAGATCACCAATGTAAGATGGTGCTTGTCCATGTAAGTCCCTATAGACCAGAACCAGGATCTTGAAATGAACCCTGAAGTTGACTGGCAGCCAATGAAGCTGGAGCAGAAGCGGGGTGATGTGGGTGTGTTTGGAGGACTTAGGCAGAAGCCTAGCACAGGCATTCTGAACCACCTGTAGACGGTTCAGGGAGATTCTGCTCAGACACGTGAAAAGAGAGTTACAGTAGTCTAAGTGTGAGGAGCGGGACAGAATGGGACTCAGCTTGGCAATGTTCCTGAGATGGAAGAAGGAAGAGCGAATAAGAGAACTGACATGAGAATCCAGGGTGAGAGCTGGGTCAAAGGTCACACCAAGATTCCTTACGGAAGGTTTGGTGTGAGAAGCAAGCTGACCAAGAGAGTCTCTGACTTTGGGAACCAGCTTGTCTGGGGCACAGATGAGGATCTCAGTCTTATCTTCATTCAGCTGTAGAAAGCTCCCAGCCATCCAGGTTTTGATAGAGTCTAAGCAGGTGTGTAACAGCTGCAGCTTAGACATCTCATGGGGCTTAAAGGAGATTTACAGTTGGATGTCATCTGCATAAAGATGGTAGGGGATTCCTTTGAAGGAGCTCCGGATGTGCTGAAGAGGAAGCAGATAGAGGAGGAAGAGCAGAGGCCTCAGCACAGAACCTTGTGGGACACCATGGGTAAGAGAGGTGGTGGAGGACCGAAACTTGGAGACGGCCACAGAAAAGGAGCGCTCAGAGAGTTGAGAGGAGAACCACTCCAGAGCAGCTCCTGATAGGCCTACCCAGTCTCTCAGCCTCTCCAGTAGCAGGTGATGGTCAATAGTGTCAAAGGCTGCAGTCAGGTCCAGCAGGACCAGAACAGAACAGTCCCCTGCATCACTGTGAGTCAGAAGGTCTTTAGAGACCCTAAGAAGAGCTGTTTCAGTAGAATGAGCTCTACGAAAACCTGACTGGAAGCAATCATAGATGTTATGTTCATCAAGAGCAGCTGTGAGTTGTTTAGCCACAACCTTTTCCAAGATCTTGGAGATGAACGGAAGTTTAGAGATGGGTCTGAAGCTGCTATGGAGAGAGGCGTCAAGACTCGGTTTTTTAAGAAGCGGGTGGATTACAGCGTTCTTAAAGTAAGCAGGGACTTGACCAGAAACCAGGGAAGCATTAATTATAGAGAACACACCCGGACCGATGGACTGAAAAGCACTTTTAAACAAAGATGAGGGTAAGATGTCGAGGGGGCATGCAGAGGTCTTCATAGAGTTAACTAGTTTGGTTAACTCAGGCAAAGAAACAGGAGCAAAGCTATCTAGGATGACGGGCCTGGTTGGAGTCGGGAGAGGCAGCGATAAGGCTGAAGGGGAGATGCTAGATCTAACCTTATTGACTTTGTCCACAAAGAAAGACAGAAAGACTTTTATTAGAGCCTGTAGAGTTTATAATGGTGTTCAATAAAAAATTAAAACAATTCTTCATGCAGCTCTTTGCATAAATTAAGTCTGTCTACTTTAATTAAAGAAATTAAGGTGGACAGACTTGTTCTGCAAGTGTCCTTTTTGTGTTTGCATAGTGTCTACAAATAAAGTAATTTAACTTACTGAGAACATTAGAAAAATTAGGTATAGCGAAATGCCTGCAAACAAATGCAGGCAGCAGCTTAAATCTTAACTCATTGACGAACGTCACCGAGGCTCATTCCTCTTGTTTATGTGCACAAATCTGTCGTGTGTGCGTATATATCCGTGTTCTCAACATAATTTTATCTTTACCCACAAGCCACTGGCTGTTTAGTGGTGAATAACACTAAACGAATCAGGAAAATAAAGAAATAAATCTGTAAAAAAATAAAAAAGACGGTGACACAAAAACAACTCTGGTTTGCAGAGAAGTGCTGAACTTAGCAATAAAATATGCAGATAAAGACTCCCACCTTCTCTCTCTGTATGTCTTTATAATGAGCAGGTTGAGATATGATGCATGGCAGCAATAAGCAAAGCAGCAACACTGTTAGTTAACTGTTAATGTTTCCCATATCACTAAACAACAGTGTGTGCATGAGCATGGGGAACACACAACAACAACAACAACAACAACAAACTCAGCATGGTGGAAAAGAAATCCATTCCTTCAGTTCTTGGGTTTTATTTACTAGGATATGATGATGAAACTAGAATTATCTGGTCCTTATTGGGTCTCAAAATGAGGTAAACATAATTAATAACTTAATGACTCTAACTGTTATTGTTTATTTAGCAAAGACTAAAGCTATGCACAAGTGAACCCTTAGTTTTATTTATTAGCTTGCCAAAGTCTATAGGTTGACGTAAATGTCTTCTATATTTTTATTTTTGTGGGGTCATTTTGTCCAACAGTTTTTTACAGATGTGTTTCAACACTTAAGGTTTTTACTAATTTATCTGTAAATGGCTCTTTTAAGGTCCCATGGCATAATATTTGGGTTGATGTCTTGTAAATGTTTTGGAAAATCATTGCCTCATGAATCTGGAATACGATACAAAGCCGTGTCTCCCATTATTCCAGGGATTTCCTGGGAGAGGAGAAAGTAACAGGGAAAATACGATGGCCCGGTCCTCTCTTCCATTCTGTCTCCATACAAAATTGGCCCTTTAGGATTTTGATGTCAGCATATTGCAACTGCTTTGACAATGAGTGATGTCACTAATCGGCGCCGAAAAGCGTCACGAGCATTTATAACGTTAAAAATGTTTTAATCAGTCAAAGTACCCTGTGATTTCATCCACTCAAGGGATAGGAAGAGCGGCTGTGTGACATAAAAATTAGAGTCCAATGAACAGAAGAAATGCTGTTTGCTATATGGCGCTTTGTAGGAGACCACCGAGTTCCGTGGATTACGGTGTCGGGAGGGGATCTCCGTGGCATTTTTCAGTTTTGGGAGTTTTGAAATGATGATTTTAAAATAAACTCTGATTAATTTCTTTCCGTTCCATTCCACTGCGATTTCCAAATGCATAGCCCAATTCCTCGGATGATCCCTGAAATGGCCCGGAAAGCGGTCTTTTCAGGCCAACTAGAGCCCCCTTCAGACAGGCCATGAAAAACGGAAATGTTCCGGAATCTGTCCGTAAGACCTTTCTGTCTGAATACAAACATCCGGATAACGTGTTCCGGAATTTATCCGGACGAAGCCCCTAGTAACAGGTCCGGACTTGTTACGGACAGGGTGGCTGCTTCAGACTGGTGAGGCAAAGTTCCGGACAAGAGGGAGGAGGAGGGGACCGGGGGACGCTGTGCGCACCTAGATAGCCCGCTGCTGTAGCATGCGGCGAACCACGGCAGCTCACCTCCTACGGTACCGTCTAGACGCGCGACGGAGCGCTTCACACCGCTTCAGTGATTCCTTTAACCATTGAGCTTCATCATCCAGGTCTCTTATGCGTCTTCGTGTGCGCAGAATTATGCTTAAGCGCCTCGTGATTTTTATCTTGAGAGGCGCTATAGAAATTATATTTTCTTCTTCTTCTTCTTCCTAACATGAGTCCGATTCTCTCTCCCCCCACCACCCCCCGCCACCGTCAGACATCTGGAACTTTTCCCTGCTGTGTGAACGCAGCCGAAAGGACAAGTTCCGGTACAAAAGTGGTGTGTCTGAAAACACAGTTCCGGTTAAAAACCGGATTGAATTGTCCGCAAATGTTCCAGAATGTCTGTCTGAAAAGGGCTTAGGTGAAACGGAGATACACGGAATTCCACGAAGGTTCCGTAAAAATACACGAAAGTTCCAATATTGGAAACAGGCCAAAAATGTTTCATTGATTTTTTTTTTAATTTGCACAAGAGCTTTCTAATTCTGATGACTCAAACTGGTGGAAATGTGAACATGAATATCTTTCACACATTTCTCTCTGATCATCTGGAGTAACTGAGAAAGCAGCAGTGTTCTGAAAACAAAGAAATAAATAATAAATGTGGTCTTCTGATTGTACCGAATCTCAACAGACATTGTGAATAAATGTGTGGTAGTGTGGCTAAATACACACATGCTAGAATCAAGGGTTAAACAAGAGGAAACACAGGAATTAAAATAAAAATGTATTTACGAAAGGAGCAAAAAATAAAATAAAATAAAAAATAAAAAAACCACATTAAAGTCCAAATTCAAATGAGCAGGAGTAGAGAATGAAGAAATCTGTTAGACGGATAGTCACAGGCCAGTGCGCTTGTGTTATTTAAAGACATGTCAGTGTCGACAGACTGGGAGGAGGAGGAGGAAGAGGAGGAAAAGAGGACAAGTATTGGTCTTGTTGTCAACAAAAAGCCTCCAAACGATGACAATAATGAACCACCTACACACTGTCAAACTTTCTCACTCTGCTTCAGCCTTTGTTGCATCCTTTTCTCTTCATGCCCCACACTTTACACTCTGCATGTCTTTTGTACATTTTATATCTTTTGTTTTATTATTTGTGCAGAAATACACTCATGTCCGGGTTTAACTTGGGAAAGTTATAGAAAAAAGCTTGTTGCTTTTTTCCGTGATCCGTTGAGCACCGCAAAAACACGCATTTTTGTTTAAAATAGGCACTCTAATTTTATTTTCTTTGATTCCAAAAATGTGTATTAGTACTTGTATTTGAGATTAAAGAGATTAAAAATCATTTGGTGTATTACTGCAGGGTAAATTTGAGGCCGCTGCAGGGCAGCTTTCACTCATTGATGTATTCATGTAAACACGTGAAGAAATAACTTATAGACAGTGTTGGGCAAGTTACTTCAAAACTGTAATGCATTATTTATTACTTGTTACCCTCATTTTAAAGTAGTTCATTACATTACAAGATTACAGATTTTAAAATGTAAGACATTACACTACTTTTGCATTACTCTAAGTTACTTTTAACAAAACAACTTCAGTATGAATTTGGTCATCTGACTCTCAGTGAACTCTTGACACATCTGGTGGAAGCTGATGTGGTATCTGAGCTAGTCTTGCTGTTATAAACCGTGTGTACCATACCCTCTTCCTCACTCTCGCGGGGCTCCCCCGGAAGTTTGTGTGTAATTCGAGTACCGGTTCAATTGATCCAGTGATGTATTTGAAATAATTTTCTTGCTATATGTATTTATAAAATAAAAACAAACTTTTTATTTAAGAATTTAATTATTGCAGATCCAAACTGTATGAGCTCATTGAATAAAGAATAAACCAAGATAGCTCCTGCAGCTGCTTTCTCTGTCCTTATGACGTCTTCCTCTCAATCAATTAGTTTTAATGTAATGGTTTATTGACTAAATGCCCCCTTCCACCCTTCACTGGTTGTTGTCACTCTGTGTTAGCTGATACATGTTATTGATCTTTGCTCAACCAGAGATGGTCAGATACAAGATCTGGGCTCCGTCCACTTTTGGATACTCAGAACATCGATAGAGACTGAAGCTCATTACCTAATGATTATCATTAAATCTCACAGTTTTTTCTTCCTTTTTAAATCAACTGTGTCAGAAAATTATTGCTCTTTTAAAAACGATGCAGAAAGCATCAATCAAAGTTTGTGGGAGTAAAAAAATAAAAAAACAGCCACATTCTTTCTATATCTCTTTAACAGGGAGGTGGGATGAAGATTGTTGATAAACGGTATGGCCAGCCGGTGTACCCATCCTCAACCAGCACCAAGCACATTGTTCTCCTCCCAGAGAACTTCCTGGTTTCGGAAACGGGGCAGCCAATCAGTAGAAGGGATTTTATGTCTGTGCTGGTTAATGTGACAAGCATGATGGTGCGTGCATCCTACAGCACAGAAACCAGTGCTGTTTACAGGTAAGAGGCTTAACTTGTTGGATATTATTTGACATTAATATTTTTACTATTAACCCCTAACTAATTTCCCTCTAGGATTAATAAAGTATCTTTGAATTGAATTGAAGAACCCTGTTATGTCTATCCTGAACACCAGGAATGTAAGAAAACACTGATACACTGAAATATTGCGATATGTGTTCTAATCAAGGGGGAAATTCTGGCTGCCAAAGCAAAGGCTAAAATTGCAGTTCCCCCCTTGCCTTTGAAGTGTCTAATCTGAGTTTTTCAATTAAATTCTTAAAAATTGCAAATATAATCTGGCTTTTAGTATTGCAGTGCTTGGAATCATCTCCCCCAGATTGTGATATTTATCGTATTGCTAGAGTCTTGCCTAACAAACACGAAGAAGAAGGTTTGATAAATAAATCCTACTCCTGGGATTAGATTGTGTGTTAGTATACCCTAACCCCATAGCTGCATAAACAGGCTGCTTCCAAAGGCTTATGCTTGTATCTGTTTGTGTGTATCTCTGTGTGTGTGTAGACTCCACTCATTCCTAATGCAGGTAGCAAATCCTTTTGCCAAAGGAGAGAGAGCATCAGCTGTAGAGATGTGTACCTGTCCTCCTGGATACGCCGGATTATCATGCGAGGTATGCAAAGAAAAGTAGACAAATAAACCTGCAAAGGGAATGTAGATTCATCTCCTGCAGAACCTTTTAGGATATTCTCAAGGTTTACTGCTTTAGCGGATTTTTGGTAGCTTTTAAAACATGATTTTAGTTTTGAAAAAATGAACAAAAATTGCTCGTCCAAATTACCACACAGAAACATCATGCCACCACAGCAATATGAGTGCATCTCTAATAATATATTGTCTTTCTAACTGTGTGGAGATGTGTGTTTTCAGGCTTGTACTTCAGGTCATCGGAGGATCAACGGGAATCTGTATAACGGTGTCTGTGAACCTTGCCATTGTCATGGACACAGCACATGGTGCCACGAAGTCACAGGGCATTGCCTGGTAAGATTAATAAAAAATTAGATCATTGGGTTTCAAATAAATAAGAGCATTGAAATACATTTTAAAAACTGTCTCGTGTTGTAAAGTGCCTTGGGGGGCTGTAAAACCCTGAAGGATACTATAGCAAATACAAGCCAATTAACATTTAATGATATAATCTACACATATGGACTAATATGGCTGCACAGTGGAGCAGTGGTTAGCACTGATGCCTTGCAACAACAAGGTGCCAGGTTCGAACCCCAGCCAGTTTGCATGTTCCGTGCATGCGGGAGTTCTCTCTAGGTGCTCCGACTTCCTCCCACAGTCCAAAAAGGCTGATTCGTCTCTCTATAAAATTTCCTTAGGTGTGAGTGTGTGTGTGTGTGTGTGTGTGTGTGTGCATGATTGTTTGTCCTGTGTGTCTCTGTGCTGCCCTGCGACGGACTGGAAAACTGTCCAGGGTGCACCACGCCTGTGTGCCCGAAGGCTGGGGGAGGTAGGCGCCAGCCCCTCGTGACCCTGCGTGGATGAGCTGGTGTAGAAAAAGGATGGATGGAAATGAGCTAATATGGGAAATCATCTTTGTAAATCAAATCTATTCTTTTTGTGTCTGTGTCATTAAAGGACCTGCAGGCTGATATTCATCTGCACACATTCGTACATAATGTGTACACCAACACACACACACACACACACACACACACACACACACACACACACACACACACACACACACACACACACACACACACACACAGGTACATGTTAACCCTCTTGTGCATCTCCACACACTCGCTCCCCATTCTACCCACTGCCTTAGGCTAATACTGTCAGTTTTCATTGCTGCAAGTTCACACACACTAAAACACACACGGAGAACACACACACACAGACCTGCAGAGATTGTATTACCGTGTTATGTTTCATTATGGATGAGGAAGATGGGACGTGTCAAATAGATACGGACCCAGAAGAAACAACAGTCAGTCAGGGAGGCTCTGTCCTCATATAGAAACACACACAGACACACACACACACACACAGACACACACACACACACACACACACACACACACACACTCAGTGACAGATAGTCAAATCCATCCACGCTCACCTTGGCTGACAGCTGTGATTTGTAGCTGCAGCTGGATGACTGAATGATGCCACAAACTCACAGGTGGAGACGGCGTGCATGTGTCAGCGGTGTGTTTCAGCACGCTTAGGTCATTTCACAGGAGAAATCAATGACTTGGAACATCGTTGACATGCTTACAGATATGTTTACACAGGATGACAGCATAGAAAACAGCTATTGCTGCGGCTGAAGAAAAAATTACATTATTTTCAAAGTTTGCTGTAAAATGAACCCAAAACGTAAAAATCTGCAACAACAAAACAAAAGTTTAAACAGTATTTTTGTATTTTGAGTGACTATATCAATCTGTAAAAGTATCAAGTAAGCAACACGTGGTCCTGCATCCGTTCAGAATGCTTTTGTACTTCTGCTCATTGTTCGGTGCTAAACAGCTGGTTTTTCATCCATCCATCCATTTTCCTCCACTTATCCAGGGTCGGCTCGCGGGGGCCGCAGCCCGAGCAGAGAGGCCCAGACCCGACCCCGCCCCTCCGGGTTGTAGTTTTTCATGTTTTATTTGTGTATTTTGTCTGATAATCAACAAAATACCATATTTTAAAACTGATTTAACACGTGCATGTTACAGATGCTTCATCCTCACTTTAGCGACATGTTTCCAGTTTTCTTAGAGGTTAAAGTAAAAAGAATTTGATTCAATATTCAATATTTTTATATGTATATGTGAAATAATATGAAGAATTATGCAATTTAAGCTTTTTCGCATGTACTGAGAATGCTAAATGTAAATAAAACTTATTTTCTGGGAATAAAAAAACATCATTTACTATCAAAATGTATTTTAGATTCCCCTATGCTCAATTTTTGAAAAACAATCTAAAATAATAACTGGACTGAATGAGTTTTTCTTTAATAAAAATAATAATACTTATTTTATAAAGGGTTAGGTAAATCGGCACAGATGTGATAGCAGTAATGTATATTTTTGGACAACGATTGATTGTTTTATCCTGCTCTTGCTCTGTGTGTGAATCCTGCATGCGTGAGTGTTATGGTAATGAACGCAGCGCTCATCCTGAACTATATCATTAACCTTTAAAACCCTGAGACTTCTGCTGGCTAATAATTTGTTTTGTCAGATACAATTATTACCAGCAGCTGTAATTTCTGTAAAAATACACGAAGCGATTCTGTGCTAGGAATCTCTCTCTAACCTCCAGAAACAACACATTAATTACATTAAATACTGCTCGACTGAGTCTGTCTTTAGCTCATTCTTTATGCATTAGCTGTTAGCAGAAGTTACAGAACTCTGCGTCAGCAGTCAGTTTCTGCTTGTTGTTGCTGCTTCCTTGGAGATTTTCGGTCGTTGAAGCCACGTTGCAGTTTCACCGGGAAAAAGAATTAAAAGCTGATAAAATAAACATTAGATTAAATGCAACTTAAATCAGCATTTTGATGGATTTGTACCCAGAAAATTTCAAATCATCTCTCTTTATCTTCTGTAGAATTGCTCCCATAACACCATGGGCCAACACTGTGACACCTGTCTTCCTGGTTACTATGGAAATGCCACTCGTGGGTCACCTGAGGACTGCCAGCCATGTGCCTGCCCACTCAGTATTCCCAGTAACAAGTAAGTTCATATTGTAATGGTCTCAGTCTGTGCCCTTACTTTTCTCTTCCTGATCATTTCCTCCATCAAATCCCTTTCTGATTCTTCCTCTCTGTAGGTAGGACTTTAATTGTAGTGACATTATGTAAGAGGAATCATCCCCACAGGCAGCTACAACGTTATACATGCTGAAGCATCATCGCCGTGGGAGGAAATGTCATTATCATTACAATCATCTAAACTAAACTTCTAATAAGTCCTTAAGGACTTTCAAAATTCACCACCAGGCTCTGACTCCTGCTTCAAAAGTCACACATGCTGTGCAGTCAAAGGTCTCAATTACACTTTGGTGAAATCACACCAGCTCCTTTTGAGGGATCTGGAAGCACTTCAGAACGGGAGTGAAGTTTCATCAAAACACCGCCTGTACAGGAAAAACAAACCAGCATTTCTCATGTCTGAAACAATCATAAAATTAATTTCTAGGTTAAATAACGTCATGCAGTAAAAGCAAGCCAGACCGTTATTGATACTTGAGAAAATTATTAGAAAATGAAACTCATCGGGTTGAACGCCCTGTTGGTAAGTGTTACTGAACTAATGGATATTGGTTTGTTGGACCTGAATGCAAACACGCTGGAGACGAGTTACGTCTGCAACAGAATGAAAACAGAACTGATGGTCTTGTGTGAGGATCAGACAAATGACTGATGGAAACCAGGGAGTGTAGGTAATGGGACGGGTTAAGTGAAGGTAGAACGAGGGTGTTTGGCGTTTGTGAAGAAACGAGATAAAGAAAACTGACCTGAGCAACCAAAACCCCCCACGAGCCCTCCGCATCTTAGTTTCGCTCAGTGGAGGCAACATCCCGCCCACCACATGCTGTAATTGGCCCACCAAACCAACAGAATGCTCTGATTGGCCAGCCACCTGGCAGAGGCTCCAAAGGGGCGTGGCTAGACCGCCGTGCAGGGCAGAACCTTTTTGCTCTGCTACTGTCGGTCTAGATTTCTAGGCTGAAACTTGAGTAATAAATGAAGAAATACATGACTGATCGTACGAGCTTCTGTATGAGTAGTTTTCTTATTATTTTTGGCCCAAAAAATTACGAACAAATATGCAAATGAGCCTAAGCCTTGCCCCTTTGCTGTGATGTAATTGACCTTAATTCCTCCCCCTGGACTCAAACACACATATTGTTTGCCTATTCCTCCATTTGACTTTGAAGAAGTAATTATGTGTTGTACCTCCGGCTATGACGATAGTCTATTCAAACCTACTCTATCCAGACCTGGGAATGATGTCATACCTCCAGTTTTCAGTGTTAAAATGAAAAAAGGCCACAACTGTAGCTCATTATTCCAACGTTGGTCCATTTAAAATTCCTGTTTCCGTGGTCTAGAAGAGTAACCATGCAAAGACACAAAACTGAAAGGATCAACTACGTGGAAGAGAACGGAGCAGGAACTTGCTTCATCTGTTTGCTAGAAAGTGTTAAGTAGCTAAAACATGCATTCCTGACAACGAGAGAATAAAGTTTGTTTCAAATGTCATCATTATGGGTTTTGACACACACACACACACACACACACACACACACACACACACACACACACACACACACACACACACACACACACACACACATAGGCAGCAGCAGCTGAGAATTTTCTTGCAGTCAAAAAAAGCCATGTCCAAAACACTCCAAGCTAAAGAAAGACACAACTCTATCTCACCACTTTCCTGCTCTACCTTCCCTCTACCCTAACGGTTATAATAGCTGAAAGAAGCCACCACCACACACACACACACACACACACACACACACACACACACACACACACACACACACACACACACACACACACACACACACACACACACACGTCAAAGGTTCCTCAAAAGTCCTAGTAACTTCTAACAAATTTTCTTGAATGTTTCTACTGAACTTTAAAGTTTGACCACTGACAGTTTCTACAAGTTTGCTTAAATTATGATAAAAGCTTTTTTATGCCAATCAGTAATTCCCTCAACGCTGGACATATTTGACTATACATTCGTGATTTAACATAGATATGATAGACATATACCTGATAAAGAAGTGGCAGTGATAGTTTCATTTGATGTTTTTCACAAGTGATCCTCAACTTTTTTCACTCGACTCCAAAGAGAGAGCAATCCTGAATCAGTTCCCAAGAGTTTTCCTGATTCCTAAACTTTCAGTTAGCCAAGATTGGAATGTTTATAATGGGTAAAACAAGGAGCTTCCAGGAATTCTGATTCCCTTTGAAAACACTGATGGAAAACTTCATTGATGCAACTTTTTATTCGTATTTCTGACATTTCTCTATTTCCGTTTAGCTGTGTTATAAGATCCCTTCCAAACGCATACTTCAGTTCACCTTTCCCCATAAAATACCTAAAGGTATACCCCAAAACATGGTTGTATATGACTTGTTACACAACTGTTCATAATCATATTTTATTAAAATAATTGGCATTTGTAACGTTCCACACACCAAACAGGCTTATCTGTAACTCAAAGACCAGCTCATAACGAGCCAGTCAGTCCTCTAGTGAGTCAGGCTGGAGCCTGCAACCCGATCCAGCAGAACTATCTATAGTTTGTGGAAGTGGGAGGGTGTCAGAGCGAGGCTAAACAACTATCACTTTGCTTTGGTTTTCCATGCCTCAGCTCATTTAGGCAACAGTTTGTGGCAAAGAAGGTTTTCTTTTTCACAGTCAGGTGTATAGCGGTGTAGATGTGTCCATTTGTGTGATTGTGTATGACTAAAGGGACCAAAGAGTGACGTCAGGGACAGAGACGTCTCCCCAACAATGGCCTTAACTCACTTATGTCTTCTTTTCCTCCTCTCCATCTCCCTGCCTTTTCCTACACTTGGACAACGCCATCGATCTTACCAACAACTTCAACAACAACTCCGTCGTCATGGGAACAGCTTCAGCCCCACCTGCCGCCTAGGTGAACAAGGGGAGGTGCTTTGTGACCAGTGTCGGCCAGGTTACGCTGGGCCACGATGCGACAGGTACCACACAGAAACATTTACATCTATCAGTCCACACAATCTGTCTTGTTTTGTGATTTTCTGCTATTAAAGTATACATTGGACCAATTAGGACTAAATTATTCCATGACCCTAATTGAAAACAAAGTAACCCATGGATGCTGAACATTAGGGCTACACAATATTAGGAAAACCTGCGATATGCGATAACAGTGATTAATATTACGATGACGATATTATTTGCGATAAATAAAAACTTAACTCAGGAACAAAAAGAATCAAAAACAACGAAAATAAAAAAATTACGAAAAAAATCATAAAATTGAGAAAAGCAAAAGATATGAGGAAAGAGAAAAAGAAAAGGAACAAGAAAAGGCAATCAGTGGATCCCGGAAAAAGTTGAATCAGCAGAAAGAGCTGAACTAAGCTAACTCAGGTGTTTGCTAACCATCAAAATTAAATGCCATCCGCCTTGGGGGCAGGCATCTAACCTATGAGAACCCACCCAGTTGGCCAAATGGGAATGGGTGAAGAGCTCTATTTTATTTGTCAAAAAAAACATCATGCTTCCGTTTGATGGACAGAATGTATTATGTGTAGTAAACATTTGAGCTGACCATTTATTGTGATATTTATCTGTTCTTTGCAATATGCATATTGCGTATGCTGATATCGCGATAATGATATATTTGCGATATATTGTGCAGCCCTACTGAACATCTTTTATTTTATTTCTGGAAATGACAATTTGTAAAAGAAACCAGGCTTTCAGCCCGTTGCCACCAACAGCGACTGAATGTGTTTCTCATTAACTACATTCCCAGCTGTTTGCGGCTTATTGTCCATCCACCTGTCTATCCAACATGCGTTCCATTATCATAGCTGACTGGCATTTTTGTACCATTAGCTGTGAGCTTTTTACCAGCCCTTCACTAATGAGAAGTCTTTCTCTCTGGCTGGTCATCTTGTTAAAACATCCGGCTCTACTGTCATGTGATGATGAAGTCTGAGTAAATTATGCTTTTCCCCCTTTCACAACCAAGGCCGAGTCAAACATGCTGCATTTGTTTGGAGCTGAGCGTCCCTGCAGCAGGAATTACGTTATGAATTGTGTCTGTTTTCTTTGTTATTTTTGTAAATATCTTGTAACAAGGTTAAGCTTTAAAAGAAGAGCTCAGTTGTTGACCAGACTTATTATTTAGGTGTAAAACGCTTTGGTGTTGTGAGATATTTTGTGTACGCACACAGGAAGTGACCTTGTAGAGCTAACGCCTTCCTTCAATAGTAAATCTTGTTTTTAGGTGTTTATTCCCAGTCTTGCACAAATATCAGAAAGCATTTTATTTTAAAGAAAGGAAATGAAACACATTATCTGTTCAAAATATGACAAAGACTTCAATTTAAGTTTGGCCAGTCGTGCCAAACAAACAATATCTCAAAAAGGAAACATTGGATCATATTCTGACATTTGAGTGAGCTGAGGAGTTTTTATATTACATCTGCAAGGTATGTAAACGTGGCATAGTTAAGGGAGTACTAACTGATACCAATCATTTCTGATATTACATTTTAACGCCATTATTGGCTTATAATATCAAACATCCCGAATGCAAATTACTGATATTTAGGCAAAAATTATTATCTATTATTTTTTTAATATCTTCTTATCCTAAATTGCTTTACTCTATAAGAAGAAGACTAATTAATAGTTTTCTTGAAACAAAATCTACTAATTTCTATTTATTACTGGAAATAAATAGGCTGTTGCTTACCTTTTGCTCAGTAGGGATGTAAGAAAAAATTGATAATGCAATATTTTGTGATTTTTTTCCTGCAATATTATATTGATATTGAAAAGCCGTGTATCAACGTTTTGGAAGAATTTACGTGCAAACATTTGTGTATTTTCTTTTCTTTTTGCGCAATTCAAACACCGACCACTAGCAGGCAGCAGTGTGCCATGGGTTTTGTTTCCACCACTGAACTGTAAATCCCTCTATTATGGTTCAGATTCCCCATGTTAAACTTGTTACGTATCAGTTTGGACTGTTTATTGAATTTTTCTACAATAATTTCAGTCTAAAAAATTGCTAATCTCATCTGGCTGAATGTATCACAATATATCGTGATATATCGAGTCAAATTATCATATTTATTGATTATTGACCTAGGTTTAACAGCAGCCTGTCTTTTCTAGAGTTCCAAATAAATTGTAGCCTGGCCTGCCAGACTCGTCCTCTGTTTAATTCTGCACAGAGAAATAGTCTGGGAACTCTCCTATTCAAAGAACCCCACCCCCTGAGAATTCTAACTGAGCCAATCAGCGCTGAGTAGGGTACGTCACACACCATAACGCTGAGTTTGTCGTAAACATGGCTACTGAAGCGGAGTTCGCGGCGGCTCTTTCCTCTGTTCTGAATGACGTGAATGTCTTTAAACCCACAACAAGTAGAAGCGCTAAAAGCCTTTCTTCTAAAAAAAAAAAGAAGTTTGCGCCGTTGCCAGACGTCTTTTATTACTACAGCTAAATAACTATTTAAATTAATAATGAATTAAAATGTAATAAATATTAAAAATAATATAGATTTTTTAAATCTTTTTATACATATAGTAATTTACAACTTAGATAACTTATCACAACCATAATTTTTCGAAAAGGAATAGGAAGAAGCATAGCTTATTTCACCTATCCCTAAATCAATTTACTCATACTTAAAAATTTTAATATCTTAATACAACAACTTCTGAACACAATGTCCCAATACAACCACTCAAAAGCATCAACATCAATTACAACAACGTTAATACATATTATCACTACAGTACATATGCAAATCAGTGATCCTCTTGTCTATATCTGGAAAAACTTAATTCTTTATATAATTTCTTAAATTGCACCATATTTAAACTTTCTTTGATTCTTTCCTCAAGACTATTCCATGAAATAACTCCACTAATTGAAATACACATACTTTTAAATTTTGTTCAGGCATAATGCTACTTCAAATTTAATCCCCTTCTCAACTTATGTCCACCTCGTCTTTCTGCAAACAGTTTTTGAATATTTTTAGGCAGTATTATTTTACTTTGTACATAAATAATGCAGTCCTAAATTATATCAAGTCTTTGAACTTTAAGGTTTGTAATTTTATTAACAAGCTATTTGTGTGTTCATTATATCCCACATGACTGACCAACCTCTTGGCTCGTTTTTGTAACGTACAAAGTGAATATAGGGTGGTTTTATTGATGTTCCCCCACATTTCAACACAGTAAGTTAGGTATGGTACTATCAGTGTGCAGTACAGTATAGAAAATGCCTTTTGATTCACAAAATGTCTTACTTTTCCCAACACCCCAATACTCCGTGCTACCTTTCCTTTAGCATATTTTATGTGAGGTTTCCAACATAATTTGTGATCAAGGATCACACCCAGAAATTTATTTTCATACACTCCTTTTATAATAATATCATTTATAGTTATTGCCTTATGTGTGTTTATTTTACGTTTTCCAAACAACCTAACTTTAGTTTTGTTTAAGTTTAATGATAATCTGTTCAAATCAAACCATAGTTTCAGTTGAGCCATTTCTGTTGTTACCAACTTACAAAGATCTTGCAAATTCTCTCCCGAATCAAAAAATTTGTATCATCTGCAAATAAAACACATTTTAATGCTCTGGAAACCTCACACAGCGTTTGACCCAAAACGGACCCCTGTGGCACCCCATGATTGATACTACGCAGTTCTGACTTATAATTATTTATTTGTACAAATTGATTTCTATTGGTTAAATAACTTGTAACCCAACTGAGAACAACTCCCCTAATACCATATTTTTGAAGTTTATTAATTAACACTGTATGATCAATTGTATCAAAGGCTTTTTTTTTTATCTACAAATACTCCAACTGCATATTCCCTTATATCTATAGAACTAGTGATTTTTTTCAACAATTTCCATTAATCCCATTGATGTAGATCTATTTGTTATGAACCCATACTGACTATTTGATAACAGATTATGATTTTCAATGAATTTGTCCAGTCTGTTAACAAATAACTTTTCTAAAATTGTCGAAAATTGTGATAATAATGAAACTGGTCTATAATTAGTGAGTTTCTTATTGTCTCCTTCTTTTTATAATGGAATAACCTTAGTTGTTTTCATTTTACATGGAAATAAACCAGCTGTGGAGGACAGATTACAAATATAAGTCAGTGGCTGCACAATGACCCCTACAGCCTTCTTTATCAAAGACATGTCTATATCATGTAGATGTTTTGCTTTGACAACCACCAACTATTTCAATAACTTCCCTCTCTGTTACTGGTGTCAAAAACATAAAGGCTGGGTTGATTTCTATTAAGTCCTCAGCTCCTCCCCCTCCCTCCTCTAACTGAGGAGTACACATTTTTTCAGCCAGTTTTGGTCCCACATTTACAAAGTAATTAATAATTTCTTGTGCCACATCATTCATGTTGTGCATAATTACCTCATTTTCCATAAAACGGTATCCGCGGGTCCTTAAAAACTGGGGCGACGGTGGCACAGGAGTTAAGTGCTCGCCCCGCAATCGGAAGGTTGCAGGTTCGAGCCCTGCTCAGTCTGTCGTTGTCGTTGTGTCCTTGGGCAAGACACTTAACCCACGTTGCCTGCTGGTGGTGGTCGGAGGGACCGGTGGCGCCAATGCTCGGCAGCCTCGCCTCTGTCAGTGCGCCCCAGGGCAGCTGTGGCTACATTGTAGCTCATCCCCACCAGTGTGTGAATGGGTGAATGACTGGTTGTGTTGTAAAGCGCCTTGGGGGGTTCCAGGACTCTAGAAGGCGCTATTTCAAATACAGGCCATTTACCATTTACCATTTAAAAAGTCTTGAAAAGACTTAAATTAGCTTTTCCAAATTTAAGGCCTTAAAAATTACAAATAATCCTTAAATAGAGTTTCCAAAGGTCTTAAATTACCAAAGACCCAATAAACACGATTCTTTTGTTTCTATAAAATGTTTGTGACTTTCTAG